ACCGGTGGGGGATGGGGGGGACTTAACTGGGAGTGGGAGGGAGGCCCAGATGACGTTGCAGTGGCGTGTCTACATTACTTCTGATGTGACCTGGAAGTGACATAATCACACAGTAATGTTGGGGCAATGCTCTGGTATTTGGGCAAATTTGGCTTCTACCATAGAATTTTTGCCCAAATACCAGAGTGTCACCCTGACATTACTGATGTGATGTGATGACATCCCTTCCGGGTCACATTGGAAGTAACAGACACATTGCTGCAATGTCGACTGGGCCTCACATTTTTCTGAGTAAATTCACACACACACCCAGCCAGCTGATCCTCCACCAGGGTGTCTAGCAACCCTATGTATAGCTGAACCCTCAATGGCTAAATAATTATGTTCTTTAAGACATCTGGTAAATAAAGTAACCTTTAACTCATGTGCATATTCTTATATATTGCCCTTTTTCATATGAAAGTGCTTTACTATAGTCATTGTTGCATAGTTAGATGCTTTCTTGCTTTCTTTTTATCAGTCAATCAGTAGCATTTTGATCTTTGCTTGTGATAAAACTCCAGGGAAATAAACCTAATTAACAGTGCAAGCCTAAAAAGAATTACACCCTTGGGGAGGGGCGGGGACTCAGTGGTAGAGCATCTACTTTGCACGCAAAAGGTTTCCGCTTCAATCCCCAGCATCTCCTGTTAACAGGATCCAGTAGCAGTGTTTATGAAAGACTTCTTCCTGAAAACCTGGAAAGCAGCTGCCAGTCAGAGGAGGCAATACTGACCTTGATAAACCAATGGTCTGACTCAGTAGAAGCCAGCTTCATATGTTCTGGTCAATGGGCTCAGAAGGCTGCAACTCTGCTTAGAATTGCCGTATAACTTACTAAAACAAACCGAGAGAATCACGGAAATACACGTACCAAAAGAGAATAAACCGTGATAACCTGACCAATTAACAATTCTTACAAATCCATTTTATATTTAAATGAACTGTGCATATAACATGTGAAAAATTATATTTAAATTGCATGGAAAAGTTACAATCTTTGTTTTTTCGTGTATAAAAATCCAAAACCTTTGAAAGATTGTTAAATATTTCAAAGGTTTTGAATTTTTATACAAGAAACAAGTATTGTAACTTTTCCATGCAATTTAAATATAATTTTTCACATGTTATATGCACAGTTCATTTAAATATAAAATGGATTTGTAAGAATTGTTAATTAGTCAGGTTATCACGGTTTATTCTCTTTTGGTATAACTTACTAAAGCTGATGTGAACATTTCCCTAGCTACTAGGCTTGCCAACTCCAGACCCAGACATTCCTGGAGATTTGAAGGCAGACCCTTGTGAAAGTGGAGTCTGGGGAAGGGAGAGAACTCAGCAGGGACGTGATGTCATAGACTCTACCTTCCAGAGCTGCCATCTCTCATGAAATGCTATGGGTCTACAGGACCCACCAGGAGGTTGGCAACCCTGACAGATACTAGTATAACATGAAAAAGTTATATTGTGTACCATTCTTTAGGCTTAGTGGTCAACATCGTGAGGGTGGAGGAATGGGATATCGGGTTAGGAGGGAAGTGGAGCGTATGGACCTGGGAATCAAGGTCATAAAGGAAAGTGGAGTGTATGTTAGAAAAGAAGCTGGAAGTCAGGATCCTGGGGCAGGGCAACTTAAAATCAGACATTTCAGGCCCAGCACCCAAGGTAGCAGATACTATTCAGTAAGGATCCAGAAGAATAAAAGTATTGCTGTCTAACAAGCAAAGACGGTTCAATGGCACTTTGTCCTTCAGTACATTTAAGAGGAAAATGAACCTAAGTATTACTTCTTCCCTTTCCTATCAAGTACAGCGGTGAATACCCTAGGGTTGCCAGTCTCCAGGTGGTGGCTGGAGATCCTCTGGAATTACAGCTGTTCTCCAGGTTACAGATTCCCCTGGAGAAAATGGCTCCTTTGGATGGTGGACTTTATGGCATTTTAACCCACTAAGGTCACTTCCCTCCCCAACCTCCACCCTCCCTAGGCTGCACCCCTAACATCTCCAGGAATTTCTCAGCCCAGAGCCGGCAGCCCCAGAATACCCCCATTAACTACAGTTTAGCAATGGGCTTATTTTTCATTGGAGAATCAGGCAGAACATTACCTCCACATTTTGCTCTGGATCCGTAATGATTAGAAACTGAAAATAAAGTAAAATAAAGCTTAAAACCTGGGCCAGCAAATGGACCAATTAAACATGGTTAGGATGTTCTGTTATCTAGCTAAACTTTTTAAAATATATTTTTTATTTATTTCCAATTTATACCCCACCTTGCCGGTAAAAACTGGCTCAAGACAGCTTACATAAGTTAAAATACAATAAAATCAATAGATACCATAAAATTAATAATAAACAATTGCATAAAGTGCTAGTACAAACAGTGCAAACAGATGGCGGCAGTTTCCTATGTCTGATCCAGTAAGAAAAGCCCATCCGACGTTATAATAGGGCCATGGCATGTTCGATTTACGATGGTACATTCATCAGTGGTGGCTCCTAATCGAAGGTCTGGTGGAAGAGCTCCGTTTTACAGGTCCTGCAGAACTGTAAAAGGTCCCGCAGGACTCTGATGTCCTCCGGGAGCTCATTCCACCAGTGTGGAGCCGCCACTGAAAAAGCCCTGGCCCTCGTTATGGCCAGACTGGCGTCTTTTGGGCCACGGAGAGTCAGGTGATTCTGCGACCCTGAACTCAGTGCTCTCTGGGGCACATATGGGGAAAGGCGGTCCCTCAGGTAGGCAGGCCCCGACCATATAGGCTTTAAAGGTCAAAACCAGCACCTTGAAACGAATCTGGTATGCTATTGGCAGCCAGTACAATGCCTTCAGCTCAGGCTGGATGTGATCTCGTGTTTATGGGGCCATATGACAACCCTGTTTCCCCCTGGCCTTAATAAATCCATATAAATTCTTCCTGACAGAGACTATAAACAACAGATCCTGCTTTTTTACAACTTTTGTATAAATCCATGCCTTTACAGTACAATCCCAAACAGAGTTATACCTTTCTAAGTACATCGAAAGCAGTGGGCTTAGAGGAGTATAATTCTGTTTAGGATTGTAGTGTTAGTCTAATTTGTTTGTTAGATTGCATACTTCTCTGACAGGTCATACTCATATTAAAGGATCACATTTACACCATACTAAGAGAGGCCAGTGGTGTAACGTAGTTAGTGCAATGATTAGGGACAGAAATTAACCCTTCTTCTGGTATGGCCATTTAAGGAAGGTTTTCAGCCCTAAGGAGTTACAGAATTTTCTTGAATGAATAAAGGAATTGCTTTCTTTAAATATGTAGGTGTCTCCTGTGAAAGAATATTCAGTGTATGGGGTGGGGGGTTATTATTATAATTAATTAAATAAGGCCCTAACCTGGATAGCTCAGGCTAGCCTGATCTCATTAGATCTTGGAAGCTAAGCTGGGTCAGCCTTAGTCAGTATTTGGATGGGGGAGACCACCAAGGAGTAGCAGGGTTGCTGTGCAGAGGCAGGCACTGGCAAACCACCTCTGAATGTCTCTTGCTTTGGAAACCCCACCAGGGATTTCCATAAGTCAGCTGTGGTTTGATGGCAAAAAACCCCCCAAACAGTTAAATAAGAGAATGCACAATGATTATCTTTATAAAAAGCATCCTATTGCCTGTGTTGAGATAGGTTTTGTAATGTGTAAGCCAGGGGTGCTCAGCCTTTTTGAGCCTATGGGCACCTTTGGATTTCTGACACAGGGTGATAGGCACAGTCACCAAATGGCTGCTGCAGGAGAAAGAGCCAGCCACAAAATGTCAGGGAGCAAGGTGTTTATGTGGAACTCTAATAGTACCTCTTCAACATTTCAGGATGCCTTTTAATCTGCACGGCCAGTCAGAAGCCCATGCTGGGCAAAAGCCCCACCTGGCCCCACCCACTTTCTAAAGGCACTTGGCAGGGGCCCTTGGGCAGTCAGCGGGTGCCATGGTGCCCTTGGGCAGCCCATTGGGGACGCCTGGTATAGGCTGGTGTATTGATTGGTTAAAACAGCTGATCATATTAAAACCTTTTATGAAGCAGAAAAATGTCAGGTCTTTCAGCCCCCCACCCCCATTGTAAATACCAGCTTGGGGATGATTGGGATCCATCTGGCCTAAGCCATCAGGACTTGTATCTGCTTCACCACATGGATAGTGTTTTGTAGTTAAAGTGTACAAGATACAAAAAGAAAGATATTGCTGTGTATGTTCATCAAATTCTCAAATTTCCAAATTATATTTTGTTTTTCAGATACATTAAACAACTCAACAAGAACAAAGTCTTCAAGAGAGAAGAAGAAGGACGGACCTTCCCGGGCTTTCTGTAGTCCGTTTCGAACAATATCTTTTTCAGACGTCAATTCATGTTGTCTGTAGTGTTTTTACAATTCCAATCTTGGCTGTATATGTGGTGTTTACAAAAGTTCAAAAGTGGCTGCTCATAGCTCTACTGTCTACCGGTCTCCATTCATGGAGACCATTCATGGAGACCGGTAGACAGTAGAGCTATGAGCAGCCACTTTTGAACTTTTGTAAACACCACATATACAGCCAAGATTGGAATTGTAAAAACACTACAGACAACATGAATTGACGTCTGAAAAAGATATTGTTCGAAACGGACTACAGAAAGCCCGGGAAGGTCCGTCCTTCTTCTTCTTCTCTCTTGAAGACTTTGTTCTTGTTGAGTTGTTTAATGTATCTGAAAAACAAAATATAACTTGGAAATTTGAGAATTTGATGAACATACACAGCAATATCTTTCTTTTTGTATCTTGTGCCATTTAAATTGCTGGATCCTTTGTAACTTCTTGTAGTTAAAGTGTGACACCTTGTTCATACAGAAAGGATTTGGAAGTCCTTCCCCTTCCTTCGATGCTAAGCTTTTTGTAATACATAATGTCCAGTTTTTGTCCCTTCACTGCTGTTATTAACTCTTCCCCCTTCTTGTTTCAGTGTGAAGAGATAGCATATGAAGAGCGGCTATACCCATCTAAGAAATGGGCATGCATTACCACAGGGGAGCCCAAGTATGAACAGAGCATCTCCATGGGTTTCATGAAACTCATGCGGTATATCTGCAAGGAGAACTCGTTACGTATGTGCAAGCAAGTGCGAATGGAGGGATGGGAAGGGACTCTGCAAAGACATAGTCCCCTGCAGCAGTTGGATTAAATGGGACTGGAGAAGCAAGTAGTAGGCTTTCAAGGCCACAACTTTTTCACTGTCCTGTCTCTCTACATGTGTCTTTATCTAGGCTGCCACTTGGGGATGACGGTGCCTGTGATCACTGAGATTCACCTTAATAAGGAGGGTACTGAACTGCTGCAAGATGTCATTACTGGCTATTATCTCCCAGAGGAATTTCAGCTTAACCCCCCTCTCCCTATGGACCCTGAAATCCAAGTCATAGAGAGAGCACCACTTCAGGTCATTACAAGGTGGGCCCTGCTCCTTGCACATTAGTGCTGCTTCTAAGCAGAGGAGAGAAGGATTGATGCTTTCTTGTCCTGGCTGGGAGAAAAAGAATGCATGGCAGGGAAGATGGTGATTAAGAAAATACATTAGCATAGAAAAAAATGTTCTGAGGTCCTATAATGGAGAAGGGAAACACTTTGTGGAAAGCTGATTCTATGCAAGTCAATAGTTCCCAAAGTGTTCACGATAAGGAGCCATGCATTGATGGGCGGGTGGCAGAGAAGCAGTTTTTTAAAAAACCAATGTTTGATTTTTGAGTACAATTGTTTTGTTGTTGATCTTGTGTAAAGGGTGTTTTATGGGAACACTACAGAAGAAACGATCCTACAGGAGATTCATCTTCTCTGGGAATTGCTGGGCTCCACTGATAATGTGCTCCATGAAACCTACATGGTGGCTACATATGAAAATCCTGGTGTTCCTAATCGTCGCAATGAGATCTGGTTTATTCGGCGAGCAAACTGAAGGTTCCTATGAATTCCTGACAAAACTGCAAACCACCCCGTTACAGGAACCGGTTTAGATGGCAGTTCTAGCCTGAAGGAGATAAATGCACATCCTGGCTTAGTGGTCATCCTATAGAATAGATGAACCGCTTCTTTTCCCCTGGGTGCTTTAACAACTTATGTTCCCTCCTGTGAGCTCACAGCCAAGGGAAAAACTAGTACACGCAAATGTTCCTGAGATGATTTCCACACCACTACTGCAGGGGGCAGTATGAGATATGCCATTATGAATGGAGATGGCTTTGGAAAAGACAATTGGTGCCTGCTTGTGTGGGCCCCAAATATGTCTGTGCCAGAGTTGAAAGAAGGTGTATTGGGAAGAATAGGTCACATTACAAGGGTTTAGTATCTGGAAGTGAATTTGCAGAGCAGGTCTGAACACCATTGCTTTACAGCTGTGTCTGCAGCTGACAGATGGTAATGGCTGAGGAACAGGTTGTGACCTGAGTTATGTATAGAAGGAGGACTTAACTTCTGATGCCACAGAGCATCCTTTTTAGCCATGTGTGAAAAAGGCTAAATCTTTTTATTAGTTAATTCTCCCACAGCAGTGAAGAGCCATTACTGCATTTTGGGAGGGAATTGCTTTAGTCTGCCTTAGCTGGAGTAATTTAAACGTGTGTCCAGAAACCAGTGGGAAATACCTGCAAAAGCCTATGGCCTGATGGTGAACTAAGAAGCAGAAACAATGGAATTTCTTCTCCTATGGTTTACATGATCTTTCCCAAGAGTATTCAAAGAGTTGTATGTTACCCACTGGCCACCTTCTGCTTGTCAGCCAGTTGGAGTGTGTGCCCACTTCCTCTTAATCAGGCAGCCTCAAGGGCTTGATGTGAGCTGAGCAGGTCGTCATCTCTGCAAGTTGTCACTGGTAGCATTTATATTGCGCTGTCTTGTGTTGTGCATTGATTGGTTGGTTTCACACTCACAAATGCTACAGTCCTCTTCCAAGAGAGGTCGGTAGTACAAAGCAAACATGAAATAAAATCTAAACCTGGAATAAAATCTAACCCTTTGAATGTATTTTATTTAGTGCAATATCTATTTCCAGGGGCAAGCTGGGTCTTCATACAGTTTCAGGCTACCTTTGGAGTTACTGTTTCACTAATAGTGACAGATTTGGGATTCAGCTGACATCCAAAGAATATCTAGATAACAAAGACAACACCTGCTTGCTTAGAATCAGCAAACTGTAATATAAAGGAATGGAATATTAAAGTTTAGGAAGACAGTATGGTTCTATTGGGCCAGGCAATCAGCCAAGTAATCTGGCTGCTTCAAATAGATCTGCGGGAACAGATGCAATGGAAATCTTTCCTTTTCGAATAAGATAGTGATAAGCTATTTTTGTTAATCACATTTTGCATAATTGCAGACCAAATCAATTTATAGTAGCCACTGAACTATGTAGTTTCTCTGTCTGTCTGCAGATGCAGATTACTTCTCTAGATGGTGAAAAGTTGATTTCCTTCCCCTTCAGCATCCATAAGGTTGACACTGGGGGCAACAATGTTTATATTCATTGAAGACTTAGATTCAAGTCCAGTATAACCATAGAGACCAAAAAGATCTTTGGAGGATAAACTTTTGAGAGTCAGAGCTCACTTCATCAGATATTAACCCAGAGATATTTGACTTTGAAAATCTTGTTGGTCTCTACGGTGCCACTAGACTTGAATCTAGCTCTTCTACTGAAGACCAACAGGGTTGTCTACCTGAAACTAATGACATTTTTAGGGGCTGGTATTGGTACTGGTCCTTTGTCATATTCTCTTCACAAGGCTAATTTATTTGGGTATGATGCAGCAGTAAGATGGCAATAGTAATACATACTTCACTTTTGTCCTTCAGAATAAATTGTAAAATGCCCTGTGGTTGCCTTGGTGTGAAAGACAGTGAATCTAGTTATTTTATTTATATTTATTACAATAAATATATCCAGCATTTCCTCATAGCTTAAGGTGGGTTACATATTGTAAATTGAAAACAGAACAAAATTAAAACCATAATAACCTCCCCTCAAAATACACCTGCAGTTTATCCTCCATTGAAACATCTGGCAAATAAGTATGGCACTCCAGCACTGCCTAATAGGGGAGTGCACCAATTTTTTGGGGGGGTATTTTTAGGGTTCGGATATACCAAACCCCCAAAATATCGGTATTTGCCAATATTCCCAAATCCCAGTATTGGTAAGATACTGGGGATCAGAAATGATCAGTACCACCTAATTTATTCAGCTCAATTATACCCTATAGGGATCATCCCCATAGGGTATAATAACCACCCCCCATTCCTGCCGGGGCAGCAGGCTCCCATCATTGAAGAGAAGGCAAATTGCCTTCCCTTAAATGAAGGGGGCATGCCTCCTTTGTGGCAGGACTCCAGAGACTGAGGGGGTTTCAAGTTTAAAGCCCCCCCTTTAAAGCCCCTCCCTTGCTGGAGTCGCACTGCAGTGGCGGCACATTCCCTTCATTGAAGGGAAGGCAATCTGCCTTCCCTTCAATGATGGGAGCCTGCTGTCCTTCACAGGACTACAGGGTGTGTGTGTGTTAAATGCCTCCCCATCTTTTCTCCCTTCTCTAGCTGGCCTGCTAAATATTAAAATATTTCCTAGAGAAGGGAGACAAGATTGGGGAGGCATCTCTAAATGCCTCCCCACACCTTCCCCAGCCAGCCCGCCACAGCGAGCAAATCTGAAGTGGCTTGGAGAAAACACGAGGAGGCATCTTTAAATACCTCCCCGATCCAGCCTTTCCAAGCCCACCTGCTGCAGCGAATAGGCTGGGGAAGGCTGGATTGGGGAGGCTCCCTGATCCTTCCAGCCATCCCCAGCCTGCCTCCTCCGGTGGGTGGGCTGGGGAAAGTGCAGGGAGGCAAATGCCTTGCCCTTCGTCTCCCTCCCCCCTGCCCAAGCAGCGGGAGCCAAGGACAAGGCTGACGTGTGGCTTGGATCTCTTAGAGCCAGTTTGGTGTAGTGCTTAAGTGCACGGACTCTAATCTGGGAGAACTGGGTTTGATTCCCCACTCCTCCACTTGCAGCTGCTGGATGACCTTGGGCAAGCCATAGTTCTGTCAGGCTGTTCTTAAAAGAGCAGTTTCTGTCAGAGCTCTCTCAGCCCCACCTACCTCACAGGGTGTCTGTTGTGAGGAGGGGAAGGGAACGGAGTTTGTAAGATGCTCTGAGACTCTGAGTGAAGGGCGGGGTATAAATTCAATCTCTTCTCTTTTTCTCTTCTTGCCTTTCTCTGCCCGCCGCCAAAGCAGTGGGAACCAAGGGCAAGGCTGAAGTGGCTTGGATCTCTTAGATCCAAACCACTTCAGCCTTGCCTTTCTCCCCTCCCCCCATCCAAGGTGGAAGGATCAGGGAAGCATCTTTAAATGCCTCCCCGATCCAGTCTTCCTCATCCTACCGGCTGCAGGGAGCAGGCTGGGGAAGGCAGGATCAAGGAGGCATTCTATACGGCAGTACTTTTTCAGGAAGCCGAATCAGATCAGAGAAAGTGTTTTCCTCCATTTTTTCTATCAGCATGATATGGGTCTCCCCCCCCCCCCTGGCTTGGCTGAGCCAAATGCACATTCATACTGCCTAACATATTTCTAGAGATAAGCTTTCCCTCACCTTCTCAGGGATCCCATTGCACATAATAGGAGCTACAAGAGAAGAAGCATGCCAGATGGGCTACCCTAAGCACAGGGACAACTATCAGGTGGCAGCTGGAGGACTGCAACTGGCTGCTTCCATATTCTCGAAGTTTGCTATAAGGTTGCCAAGATCTCAGCTTCTAGAAATGCATTCTGAGAAGCTCTTATTCCAATTTTAACCCACTTTGCAGAAAAGGGAAAGTTTCTTGAAAGTGACTAGTCATTTTTCCAGAGCCTGCAGTTTGTTAATGCTACCAGGCAACTGAATTTGTTGGTGTGATGAATAATCTAAGGCCCTAACAGGAACATAAAGAGGCACATACAGAGTAGCAGACAAACATTTTACAAGAACATTAGAAACAAGCAAGCAACCAAAAACATTGTCAAGCCTGTCCTGAACACGACAGGGGAATATGCAACATGTGATACAAAGGCACAAAAAGCTTTTGCCAACTTGGTATTTGAGAAGAAAGTAATTGCAGGCAGGTAGCCAAGGCACTTGGCATAAGCGATGAAACAGTCATCTAGATTAAAAGGCTGTGGATCAAGTTAAAGATTTATGTGGCTGAATGCCACATTTTCAAATCAAAGGAGTCTAGGTGGCATATACTTGGGACTCTGTGTATTTGCATATCTCTGCATTTTATAGAATTCTGCTTGTTATGGGAGGGGCTTTCTCTCGAGTAGCCTGCCACCACCACCTGACCTTTGTAGGAATTGCCCCCAGGGAGGGTCAGGACTCCCAGCTTCCCTTCCAAGATCTGAGGCCTTGCCTCTGTGTCTCCTGTTGCCCAGTGCCTGGTCACCATGGGGACAGTTTAATGGCTTGTGTGCCCCTGGAGGAATAGCCACTTGCCAAGTACCTGCCTTCCCCTGGCACTCCTTTTAGAATAGCATGTCCAAAATGGTGGAGATCTATGTGGTACAGAAAACTACTGCCAACTTCAAAGGTTATAAAGTATTTATTTAAAAGCAAATGTTCATAAGCATCCTTTTAGTGCAGCACCAGATTGAGCAAGGGATCCCAAAATAAACTGGTAAAATGCAAATCCTCTGTCCCTCTCTCTATGCATGCTCTATCAGACGTTAAAATAGGACAGGCTCCCTAAGATTAGCAAGTTACAAATATCTACAGAGTGACCATTACCTTGAGGTTTTTTCCAGCTCACATGGTCAAGATGGCTGCCTCTCCCAGATCTCGGTTAAGAGTTCTGCCTCCTCTGACAGACTCAGCAAAAAGAGACCTTAACTCCTTACTCCCCTGAGTTCTATCACCTCTCTTTCCCGGACCCACTGGCCAGGTCAGGCCAAGTCAAGCAAGCATTTCCTGCAGCTCCTTCCTGGAGATTATTCCTGGCACCTTTCTAGTCTAAAGTCCTCTAACTCTCTGATCCCTGCTAGAAGAAGGGGGAGAGCTTGACCCACCCATTATCTCTCCTGCTATTAGCATTTGTATGAAGGTAAGATGGGAAGCAATTGCATTACCACCCCCTTCCTGCCTGTTCTCTTCCCAGAAGGGAAAAAAAACTTTTTAAAACTTCCTGGTGGAAGGTTTTGCTAATGTCAAAAACCTCCAAGGAAAAAAATAATTTATTTACAGATTTATCCTCCATAAAGCTGTCTAGTCCCCTTTTAAAGGACTAGATATGTAAGGGAGATACTTTTTCTACATGATAGATGTATGAAGTATTTCCTTTTGTCTTTACTGAATCTCTTGCGCATTGATGTCACTGGGTGACCCCAAATCCCAGTATTATGGGATAGGGAAGACACATTCTCTGATCTTTTCTACACCATGCATAATTGCACAAATCTGTATTACTTCCCCCTACCTTTAGATCTTTTTTCTGTGCTACAAAGCCACAGATCCATTGGCCTATTAGCCTGCTGATTTTGCCCGGAAATTAATTTCCCACATAAATTGTTTTGAAGATTGGCATTTCAAAAGCTAGAGGGAGGCATGTGAGAGAATAATAAATTCTAATTTCACTATCACATACAAAAATATGGGAGCCAGGTGGGGCAAAGCTATATAACTACAAGGTATGTGGCAACTTCCCTTCACACCCACATTGGTATATTACACTTCCAATAGTCCACTCTATTGTATAGTTCCCCTTATTTTATGCACCTCTCCCACTGATTAATATGCCAAACATAAATCCCTTTCTTTGTTATATTGATCCCCACAGTCACTATCTGTTTCCCAAGCATATGATCAATACATACAATACAGAAAAGAAAATGATATATAGAATATTTATAAGTATCACTTGCCTCTCCTCACCATCACTGCTGGAACCTCACAGTGTCTTATCTGTTACTAATAAAAATGCCTTATTTTCTACACCTGGGAAAACTTCCAGGAGCATTCCTGTTAGCTTGGTTCACAAACAGCCAGTAGCTCCTATTTAACAGTACAATCCTTACTTCAGTGGACTTAAAAGGGTATAACAGTGCCCAGAATTGCACCATAAGATTCATAAGCTTTTGCAGAGTGTATCTTTAAAGTCACACTAAACATTCTGTATTATGTGGGGGGGGGGGTAGTGAAGAGATTTTACCACTAATTTCCTGGTTTGGCAACACAGTCGTGTGAGATTCTAAACTGCTGTCTCCTGGAAAGACAAAGGGAGCAGGAATTCCACTTGTGAGGCACTGAACCTAATTCCACCTAAGCAATCTCCCCCCTTCAGAATGAGATAACATCACAGCAGAACTAAGAAGCAAAAGCATCTAGTGCTGGTTTCTGTCTGGGAGGAAAAAAGCACCACAAGACAAAAAGGGGGCTATTCCACACTGTTTGGTAACTATTCCACTTTATGAGGGCAAAAATAACCTGAGGGCAAAAATAACCTGAGATCAAGGACTAGCTGACAGAACTACAGATCATCCAAAGATGATAAAAGTGATGGTACTAGGGTTGCCAAGAGGCCTGGAGAAAAATGGTCTTTCCCTTTCATAGAACTTTAATGTGTGGAAATGGGCAGCTGAAGCTTTTCATGGGATGGAGATAAATAACATAGCAATACACCTATGTTAAAGGGACAGGACATTTTTTCCCTAAAGGTAGTGGACAACCATGGTTCATACTTCAGAACCTTTCACAAACCAGGAATTCTGTATCTGGATATTGCCTTTCACTCTGTGAGCCTCCCCCACTGCCCACATACATCATTTCAGACCTGAGCTCTGAGTGAAAACATCAACAGTATGGAGGAAAGCTTTTTAGCCATCGCTCTGAAGCTGCAGCAAGAGAGTATGGAGTTGCTTTTCCCTCTCTTCCTTAGGCAGCACAAAATCAATCAGTTTTGGAAGCACATGACTGTTCTAATGTGCTACCCGTACGCTTGAGAAAGGCAGGATAAAAATATTACAAGCAATGTCTGACAATTTATTTGGTTAATAATATCAGTGTGCTATAGTGGTTAGAGTGTCAGACTAGGATCTGAGAAACCAAGGTTCAAATACCCACTCTGCCATGGAAGCCTGTTGGATGACGATGGTCACATACATTCAGCTTAACTTACCTCACAGGGTGGATATAAAGATGAAATGGAGGAGAGCAAAACAATGTAAGATGCTTTGGGTCTCTACTGGGGACAAGGGTATGGTATAAGTGAAGTAAATAAAATATTCACGAGTTTTTAAACCGAACCGTTGAAAATACTAGTACACACAGCTGGGAGTTTTTTATACACAGTAGCCATTCCTCCTTAATATTCAGCAGTGGATGGTAATGGCAACTACTAGACAAGGCTGTTAGAATTAAAATCTTTACCCATGAGTTTTATTCCTTTACTGGGAATAAAATTCCCTTTAATATATCCCAAACTTGATATCAGAAAAAGAAATATACCACTGTTCACAAATTACTGCAGCAAATGACTCTTCATCCTGCAATTTTCCTGAACAGCATGTGAATTCCCTGAGGTAAGGAAGGCCATTTACTACACAGTAAGGATGTTGTGAGAACATGAACAAAGGTTATAATCTTTATAGCCTCATCCCTAGTTGCAAGTCTGTAAAGGAAATAGGGTTGTCACTAGCCTTGCTGTTCCCAGCTTGAGACAATCAAGAAATGGAATAGGACCCTGAGCCCTTTGATCTTCTCAGTGAGTGATCAGAGAGAGGAATACTTCTCAGGGCTTGGAGACTAGTTTCTTTAATGGCTTTAGCAGCCCCTTGTAAAATGTCCTCAAGTAGGAGACAGCAATACCTTGTCTCTCTAACAGACTAAAATCCAGCCATGCTGGTGTGACATTAATGTAACCACAACTGAAATGTTAGGATGGGTTGAGTATACTGCTCATAGAAAGTTGACCTGTTGATGTCAAAGAATACACAAGACAAAATAAGCAAGAAAGGGGGGGGGACATGCCCCCCACTGTGCCACCTTAGGGTCTAGAAAGTTTCCTATGGCATGTGAAAGTTCATCCCATTACACTGTTTTTGACTTACACTATGTATTCTATAGGCAGACCATAAATAATGTAAATAAATAAAAATATCTAATTATGGCCATATTTTTACTTTTGCACACTCTTCATCAGGCAGAACAGAAGTTTGTACAACAGAAGATACCACCTTACCATATTTTGTATTTCCAGTTTTTACTTCCGGCAGGTTAAAATAAAAGAGTATGGGACAGGGAGACTATTACTTATCAGTATTTGGGTTGGGTCTCAAGGCATGGTAAGATACTTATCAGGATGACTGGCCGGAAATGAAACCCTCTGTATTACTTCCCTGAGGGTTTATGGTTTCCTTCCCTAGAAAGCTACTTTCAGTTCATTCTACCCACAGACATGAGACAAACGTCTTTTCAAGGTCTGAGCTAGTCTGCTTTAAAGATACAATGGTGACTCCTCAGCCTCATTCTGGGGAAAACCTGATGTGTTGTATCCAAGATACCTACAAACAAAGGAAAACTGACAGTGCAATCCTAGGGACACTTTCCTGTGAGAAAACCCCACTGAATAGACCTAAGTAGAACTCTGAATAGGTATATGTTAGGTACTTTTCTCCCCCATCAAGAATATGACATTTGGGGAAATCAAGCACAGACATCCCCAAGTTTCTGTTTGGAGATATGCAGTTTTGGGGGTGGATGAGACTTCTTGGCAAGAGGTGGAATAGGTTCACTCTGAAACAAATAGTTCAAGTGAGTGCATGATATATTTCCAAGGAGTCTTTATCCTTGCCGCTTCCAGTTTTACCATTCTTTTGGGCCAACTTACATCACCAGGTTGGTGCAGGTATGTACCTTCAGTTCATCTGAGGCTGCGTTTGGCTGCACACAGCAAAGCAGTTGAGTGATTTACATCACCACTGGCAGTCGGCAATCCAGCTTTGTAACTCACTCACTCTACATTTACCCCAATTGCGCAACCTCGTTTTGGCAGCTATACAATGGTGGAAATAAAGCTGTTGCAAGTTGGGCATTTCACGAAAACAGAACACAACCACTTTTATCTATTCACACATAAACACATAGGTACAGGGTGGTCGCTAAGGAAGCCTACGCCGGTTGGCTTCCAGCTTTAGGTGAGCCAGTCCTATGAATTCAGCCCCACGGGCAGAAAAGCTTCCAGCATGCACAGGCAAATCAAGTTTCGCAGGCATTCAGAACGCTGTGCCAAGAGCCAACTCTATGTGGCGGCTGGTGCTCCCAACAACTAGTTCATAGCAAGTTGGACTGCCTGGAACTGAAGAATTGGTTTTTATACCCTGCTTTTCACTACCCGAAGGAGTCTCAGAGCGGCTTACAATCGCCTTCCCTTCTTCTCCCCACAACAGGCACCTTGTGAGGTAGGTGCGGCGGAGAGAGCTCTGAGAGAACTGTGACTGGCCCAAGGTCACCCAGCAGGCTTCTTGTGGAGGAGAGTAGAATCAAACCCAGTTCTCCAGATTAGAGCCCGCTGCTCCTAACCACAGCACCAAACAGCCTTGCGAAGAGACCCTGCATTGGACCCACGGGAAAGGAACAGAGTCTTGAAGAAGAACCTTTACACTGCGTGCGCTCTGTGAGATAAAAAAACCCGCCTGGGATTCCCATTCAGAACGCCCCCCGCATCCAGGAGGGGTCGCTCGCCAGCCGGGCCGGCGCTTTGGAGAGCGAGGGGGAGAAATAGGTGGGACGAAGAGGTTCCGGCTTGCCTTGCACAGCGAAGGCAGGTTGCTCGGGGCCGGAAGCTCCTCCTTGTCCCGGGCGTGTGAGGGGCGGGGCGGGAATGGGTTAGGCGGCTGGGCTGCCCCGGGTGAAGAGATTCGTGTGGGAAGAAGCATGGAGTGAGGAGCGGGCGCTGGAGGTGGCCGGGCGCTGCGGGAGAGAGCCAACCGAGCAGAGATGGCCGTGGAGGTGGCGCGGGCGGTCCGGGTCTTGCTGATTCTGGGTGAGTCGGAGTGGGCGCGCGGGGGGGGGGCTCCTTCGTCGGCTGCCTCGCTTGCCGCTGGTCGCTCGCCCGCCCTCCTTCCCCGCGGAGGCAACGCTTAGGCCAGCCATGGGTCCCTCGCCTCGATGAGTACCCTGGCTCTGGGTTGTTCCATCCCATTTTGCTGGAGGCAGGACCGAGCTGTGTAGCCGCCGCTTTGTGGTTTCGCCCCGAGTGGGAGGGTTACACGTCTACGTATGTGTGAGAAAAGCGCGACCATTCAGTCTACGACCGCTGTGCTGAATGGGGTGTGTGTGTGTGTGTGTGTGTGTGTGTGTGTGTGTCGAGGCGCTTCAGAACTTGTTCAGGGGTCGCGCTGCTCTGCTCCTTAACTTGTGCGAGCGAGAAAGGCAGGCGGAGCGCCTGTTTGCACGAAGAAGGAGCGACGAACCCGTTCGGGGAGTTCTTTGTGTTCGCCGGAGTCGTTGGGAGTGGACGACGAAGTGGCCGCACCGAGGCTCACCCTCTCGCTAGCCATTTGGTGCCAAGCGCCAATCAAGCCGTTCTGCAGGCAGAACGGATATTCATCCCCGCGTCCCCTTGGTTTTGTGCCCGCCGCCGCAACAGCAGTTACCAACCCAAACCCCCCCCCTCCCCCCATACAAGCCCAGCAATTGCTTGGTGCCATTCAGGCTGAACAGCGGGATCTTTCTGGAGCAAGCAGCCAGGCAACATCTCTGTCTCCTGGTTGCCTCTAACGTGCTGGTTTGAAACTACTCCAAAGAGGCCAGTGTGTGTGTGTTTAGGCTGGTTGGAGGAACCACAGGAATACAGGCCAGCACTTTTTTTTTTTTTTTTTAAGTAGGCGCTAGTGGCCTCTTTTACATTCCTATCCTGTCAGCGACCTTTTTTTTTCCATTTGCCAACCTCTTTATTCTAGCCCAAGGAAGGGCACTTGTATGAAGACCGTTTGCATACTTTAATAAGCTTTTATAGACTTTTTACAGAGAAGGAAAAAACGACAACAACAGAAGGTAATTGCTTTAATTTTTGCTAATCTCCTTTTGCAGGTTGCAAAGGTTTTGTTCCAACTCTTCCATTGTTGAACTTCTTGAATTATTGGGCACATTCTGATAAATTTCATCCTAATCTATGTGACAAAACTGGGGAATGTATTTTCAGTAATCTTTTTAGTTGAAGTAAACTGTAATTGCAGAGGTTTAGGAATACACTATGATTTGATGTTTTAGGGGTCAAGCTGTACTAGATAAGCAAATCTAGTTTCACTGAAGTTGGTGATAATGGACCTAAATGCAGGTGCCTACTCTGTTAACACCTGAGCAGTGAAGAGGTTACTCACTTTAATTTAGTCACTTCCTGTGTTTAAACTGGAAAAAAATCATTGGGCTAATATGGATTTTACATTAGCAAATGTCAGAATCTCTTGCCCATCTGCATCCCTGGTTGACATCCAAATAGTTGCCATGCAGATCTCAGCTGGAATTGATCTAATGTTAACATTGGATGGTGACCCTGACTGAGAGGGCTAGTTCACACTTTGATCAGAATGGTGCCATTATCCTGTAAAGTGCAAGGTGAGGCAAATTCCCTTCCCAACCTTTTTCACACACTGTGCAATAGGGAAGAGAGCATTAATAAAAACATTATAGAGCTTGCCTAGAACAGCTTACTTAGGGCAGAAACAGATTATTTGTTCTGGAGGCAGGGAGCTGAGCATCTCAGCAAGTATAGGTAGTGGAGTGAGTATTTACGGTCCAATAATCATGCCAGATTAGTTTAGCCCTGTAGAATCTGTGCTGTAAGATCTTTGTAAAAAACACTTTTGTGAAATGTGAATTTATCACTTGTTTTGAACTCCTGAAACTGCTTATAGGTGGTTTTTGTAGTTTGGTCCACAACCAAAAAAATGACAAGCCTGTTAAAATGACAGTGTATGGCCTGTTAATTCATATTGCTTCTGTTGCAAAGATATAGTTGAGTTGCGTTGGTCTCCTGTGCAAGAATGTTCTGTCTTCTGTTTGCAGGTTTATAAATAATGTTCTCCCTATAATGTACAGCGTAATATTTTCTTGACTGCAGTCTTTGGTGCAAGTGATGTGTGGCATTTACTGAACTTTTAAGTGTGGAATGTTAGTTGATATCACCTCAGTTTATTCTCTTTTTTAAATTTCTAGTCAGCTGATCATCATCATTGTACTTGTGGAATTTTCTAGCATACCTTGATTCAAATTTGGGCTAATTGACTAATGCTGAAAAGAGCTAATGCTGTCTTTGTTCTTCACCTTTCAACATTTAATGTATTCCTGTTACCACAGTGTATAACTGGCAATAGACTGAGTTGTTCAGAGAACCTCAGTAGAGAACAACACGGTTGCAGTTTGAGAAATGATATAGTTTTATCATAGTAGAAATTGAAGGGGCAGTCTTCAGTAGATAATGTATATATAGTATTGTTGGCACTGTGCTTGATTTAGCTAAATGCTGTGTAATTTAAAAAACCCTTTAGGCATATCTCTATAATGCACTGTAATATCTACATGGGATTCTAAATAATTTGCCACCTGTATCTTGGTGGGGAAATTGTGGTTAATGTGCTTAAAGAGTAAAGTTAGATAGTTCAATCTTTGGGAAGAATGGCTTTAATACTTGGCCTTCACAAGGGTTTGAGAGATGAGCAGTGACAGTTAGCATCAGTATGGAAGGGCCTGGTACACTAGAGAGAGAGATGTATTCTGTCCCCCTCCCTGATAAAACAGAAGAGATCATCCAGCTGAATGTAACAGCAGTGCATTGAAAACTGATTACTCTCCTTCATATACAGTGCATTGTACCGGTAGCAATCACTTTCTTGAGGAGTGTATTTTAATCCTTCAAGAGTTTGAAACTTAAAATATATATACATATTGTTGGTGGTTGCAGTCTGCTTGTTTGGGATGCTGCTTTAGGTGTTCATATTTGTATTATTTCCACTGAATATAGAAAAATGTCTCTGCATGCACTCAAAATGCTAAGTTGTTCCTCAAAATAGATGCCAAAGGCAAGTAGGCACAGGTACAAGAATAACCCATGAAAGAAGGGTGGAAATGCATGGAAATGAAGCTGGTGTGATTAGTTAAATTACAGGGCAGCTCTGTGGGCATGCTGGATGGAATGGCAGAAGCCTTTGAAGTAAGGTAGCAGTTAAATTGTAAAACCAGCCCTTATACTACCCTTTCACCGGAGGTAACATCTGCAGGGTGGTGCAAGGCTGAGGCTTGGCTAAGGTTCCTTGGCAGTAGTGTGATATTACATTCCTTGGGTAGTGTTTTCTTTGTTGGTATAGGTGAGAATTCCTAAAGTGTCTGGAATAATTGCTGTGTCTTATTTGAACTGTATAATGTAATAAATAGCATTATTTAGGCTCTTAGATCTCAATTCTTATGTAAAGTAATTGCAATTTATCTAATGCTTAAGTGTTTTTAAAAGACTTAGTGTGGGAAGGTATGTCCCCCGCCATTGTTTGCTTTTTTCATTGTAGTATGTATTAATGTCATAAACATATTAGCTTTTAATGCTTTTGGGAAAGAACTTTGTGCTAGTGCAAGTAAAGGAATAGTCTCACCTTTACAGTAGTCTGCTTTGATCCTAGATGTGCAGAATATAGAAATTGTGGTCTCTGTTCAGATAATTTAGTTTATAATGCTTTTGTAATAACAGCTAACCAATGAAGGTGGATTTGTACAAGAGCATGTAAGGTAATAGTTAAGGCTTTGTCACCTTGATGGTTGGAATTCATGTTGAGTTTAGTGAGAAAGGCAGGCAAGTAAATAAATCTATATTTGAAATACACAATCTAAGCTTGTGTGTAAGTAGCTTTCGTATAAACAATCAAAGCAGCTGTGGGGCTTTCAACAGGTATATGTTCGGAGACTTGTGAGAAACAGGCTATGTTAAGGTAGTCCTACAGATGTCCGTATGGTCAAAGCAATGGTATTCCCAGTAGTAATGTATGGCTGTGAGAGTTGAACTATAAGGAAGGCCAAGCACTGAAGAATAGATGCTTTTGAATTATGGGGCTGGAGTCCCTTGGTCTGCAAGGAGATCAAATCAGTCAATCCTAAAAGAAATCAACCCTGAAGCTGAAGCTCAGATACTTTGGCCACCAAATGAGAAGAGAGCACTCACTGGAGAAGTCCCAGATGCTGGGAAAGATTGAAGGTAAAAGAAGAAGGGGACGACAAAGGATGGGATGGTTAGACAATGTTATTGATACAATGAACATGAAATTACCGTAAGCAGACTCCGGAGCATGATGGAAGACAGGAGGGCCTGGCGTGATGTGGTCCATGGGGTTGTGAAGAGTTGGACTCGACTGTGCAACTGAACAACAACAACAGATGTTTGTGGAAAAGGCCATAAGCTGAGAGTTAGCTGAGACTTGACTTGCTTTGTTCATGGCAGTCTTGAAAACAAATATCTTCCTTGTGATCTTTTGTGTAGAGAAGTGTCATAGTGTCAACATTCCATGCTGCTCAAAAGTGCTACTTAAAGGGAGATGTGACGTATTATATCTCAAAACCTACCTGCACAGATCACATACGCAACTCGGTGAAGCTGTGTATTATGTATCTATGAGCAACAGAAATGACTTACTTTGCTTGAAAGGAAATTGATTGACATCCGCTTCAGTATGTTTTTTGCATGTTAATATATATTTTTTTAACATGCTTCCTTGAATAAAGAAGGAAGTGTGGTCTGAGAGTGAAGAGTTAAAACTCTTCTTGTTTCTCTTCATGATTCCATGCTTTCTGCTTCACACTTCCTGATCTAAAACACTAGGGAGGGCGGCAGTTCTGCATGGAAACCACAAATATTGAATGCAGATACCTTGAACTTAAAAAGTCTAGTTATTCCTTACCTTATTGGTCAGCATCTTCCTCTGAAAAAATATAAAACCAGTTAACAGTTGTGTTGCTATCCTTGCCTTTTAAATTTCCATTCCCAGTTGTATTGAGCTTCCC